TAAACACGTAAATAATTATTTTCCTGATTATTTTTCAATATTTTTTTTCCTGGTTTGACATCCCCTTGGCGAAATTCTCTGCAAATATCGATATAAAATATTATTATAAATATATTACTAGAGATTTTATGGGCTGGTGCTTCAAAGTTTTTCGAGCCACCCAAGTTTTATTCTGAAAACAGCCAAGGTCCCATTTTTTCTATGTAAATTGAGGGAGCAACTTGTGATTTTTAATTTCTTCTGTTCTATCCAAATCCCCTCAGACATCCCCTGTAAAACCTCGAGTAGCTCCGTGGTACATCCCACTCTCCACACTCTATTTACTATCGCAGTTGTACGACTCTTTTCTTCCTCGTGAGTTAACAACATTGAAATCAGGATTCAAAACGACTGAAACTGGTTTTAAATCTGTTTTTTCCCCAAATCCTTCTAAACCTTCACGCTGAAGAAACTTCTGACCCAGTGGCTGGTTGATCGAGTAAATGAACTTCAGAAGCAGCGGGGCTGCCTGGGGCTGCGTTGGACACTCTGAGATGGGAGGAGTTCTGGTTTTTTTTTCTCCTAGTGTTTTTTTTTCCCCTTTTCCTCCATTTTGGGATGACCAGAGCTGGCTGGAGGGGAGAATTAGCAGGTGGGACTGTAGGATGGGGAAATACACCTGGAATAGTTGTAATCTAACAAGCTCGGGTGCTGGTAGTAGTGAAAAAAGAGGTTTTAAGGAGTATGTAGCGTCTGGGAGGCGCTGGTGTCGCCTCGTTCATTAGTGTAGATTTGGGTGCAGTAATTACCCGCTGGTGGTTGTAGATGAAGCGATAAGGGAGGAGGGTTGTCCCCAGGTCCATAACCGCTGTCAGGCTGTGCAGGGAGCTGAGGTTAAGCACATTTTTAGTAGAAGTGGTGACTTTTCCAGTGAGGATGCACGTGCCTCACAGGGATAACTCCACTCGGTGTCACTCGGGACAGAAACACTGACCCAGTGTGATCCGAGCTCTCTCAGTCATTGTTCCCCCGCTGCGCTCGCGGGCGCTTTGTCTGCCTGTTTGAATCGTTCGAAACCTTCAAATGCTTCTTAGTTAAAGTTTGCTTTTTTTTAAAATGATGTTAGGAAAAAATACTGGTGAATTAAAAACCCCGCGTCCTTTGTTAGAGGCGCGTCTGCAGATGCTGCCGCTTCTTCCAGACCATCCGTTGAACTCCTCTGCTTCCACGTGCTGCTCCTGTTCTTGCTTTTCCATTTCTCTTGTCCCCGTTGTCCCCTGGTGATAATAACGATCCCCTCTTCCTGATCTTGTCCCTTTTTTAAGAAGAAACGACCGATTTCTGCTTTCTTCTTGTGTATCTCGATGAGTTTTCATCTCTAAGCCAGAAAAACTCCAGATCACGTCCTGTACAGTCACATTTCCAGGACTGTTCCATCACCATTTCATACCAGAAATCAGAACTGAATTATCTGGGTGATTCCTGTGAAGTGCACATTTTTGTGGCTTTGCTCTGTTTCCCCCTGATAGAGAACAAAGCTCTGGGGATTGCTTTTTCTGGTGGTTTCGGCTGGAAGGGGACAATCATTTCCTGTATAATTTCTTAGTCAGACCTTAAATATGTGGTGAAGTTTGTCTGAACTTCCAACTGCGCCGTGGTCTCTGCTGCGTTTTAACTCTAAAATGGGAGCGCTCCTCAGCGCTCTGGAAGGGGAACTGCCAGACCTAGTTGGTCCTCGGTGCTTCTCTTACTTTGTGATCTTGATTTGACTGGGTACCACGCCAGGCTTGCAAAATAAACTCTTAAAATTAGAGGCAGTGTGAAATTAGGACGTGGCTGGTGATGCTGGTTGGGTAGTTTCAAGTTGAATTGAATCTCTTTTTTTGGTTTTACTTTTGATGGAAAAAGGGTGTGCTTGCCCAGAGACAAGGAGCTGAGTCATTAACTCTTTGGCTTCTACTCGTGCTGCATTTATCAGAGTGATGTTGTAACAATCACCTGGAACATAAACAATCACAATATAAAGACCAGTTGGTGTTAATGTTCGTGTTATGGGATGTGTTTGAATTAAGGAAAGAAAGAAATGTTGAGTTTGTAGATCATGTGGAATTATCTCTAAATCCTGATAGGGATGTAGGGGATCTGTAGTTTCTTTAAGTCCTTCCCAGAATTGATGTTTCTAGGGAATGTACTGAGAACCTTTCAGATCTCCTAGAATGCGGCGGCTTAATCTGGGTAGCATGTCTGCAGGACACATAGAATCCCAGACTGGTTTGGGTTGGGAGGGACCTTAAAGCTCATCCAGTCCCAACCCCCCTGCCAGCAGCAGGGACACCTTCCACTAGACCAGGTTGCTCAAAGCCTCATCCAGCCTGGCCTTCAACACTTCCAGGGAGGAGCAGCCACAGCTTCTCTGGGCAACCTGTTCCAGTGTCTGACCACCCTCACAGTGAAGAACTTCTTCCTAATATCTCATCTAAACCTCCCCTCTTTCAGTTTAAACCCATTTCCCCTTGTTTTGTCATTAGTTGTCCTTATGAAAAGTCCTTCCCCAGCTTTCTTGTAGGCCCCAGGACAGGTAGGATGGAAGTTGTCTTCTTCTAACTTGTAGAGTCTGTTTGGAAAAAAAAGAACATTTTAAATAGTAAGAATAACAATCTCTAAGTAACTGTGATGCAGAAGAACTGCCAAGTTCCTCGGTTGTTAATGGTTTTCAAGCAATGTGGTGTTTCTTGGCACGTAGAGACGATGACAACACGATGGGTGGTTTTGAATTGGAATGAAATAACCAGCTGATTGTTTCGATGTGTTCCCTGTAGATGGAAGACGGTCACTCCCTCTTCGATTACAGCGTCGGACTGAACGATATCGTTCAACTCTTGGTCAGACAAAGCCCCGCAGTGCTTCCTGCTGTGAGTAAGGAGAAGGATTCTGAACTCTCAGACACAGACTCTGGCTGTGGCTCAGGCCAAAGCGAGTCTGACAAAAGCTCTCACAATGGAGAAGGTGCCATGGAACTGGAGGGACAGCCGAGCACAGCGGCGCAGCCTGACTGGACTGACCCAGGATTTGGCCTCTATAAGGTGAGGTGTTAAAAAACTCAGATTATTTAATGCTGTGCTTTGGGAGGGGAATTGTTTCTCCATAGTTGAGAATTTCTGAAAATCTTTCATTGTGTGGATGTTTTTTTTTTTTTTCTTAAACCCTTCATAACCAACCAACCAAAAAAATATCAACCAACCCACAAACCTATTAAAAGCAACATGTTGTAGGTAAAAATATTTTTCATTTTAACCTTTTAACTAAAGCTACAATACATTAATTAATTAAAAAAAAACCCAAAAGCATTGAGAGTGCCTGTTTTGATTTAAAAAAATGTTCCCAATATTTTTGCTTGGAGTCACTGCATTTGTCCAAGCTGAAACTTTCTTGAATGAACAAGAGAAAACCTCAACCAGCTGTTCAGAATCATTTCACTTGTCTGTTTCAATGGGTTTCATAACAGATCTAGTGATGTCTTTGCCAGACTATGAGCAAGACAGTTCTGAAAGTCCTATCAAGGTTTGCACTTGATACGAAAGCTGCATCTACACGTTGGTGTCGAGTGGATTTTTAGCCTTAGATGTTCAACCTGGGAAGACTTGGGGTGCACAACAGGATCAGGAAGGCAAAGGAAACCTTAATTTTTAAGATGATCTGTTAAATATCTTGATAATGACAAAGTTTTTGGGATGGTGAAGTCTTCAGGTAGAGTTGGGAATGTTTAATTGTCAGATCCATTTTGGTGAGCTGTGTGCTTTGCTTTGTGTAGATCAATGACTTGGTTGATGCTCGAGATATGAATATGGGAGCCTGGTTTGAAGCCCAGGTTGTAAATGTGACCAGAAAAAAACCGACAAATGAATCAGCTGACAGTTGCACAGATCCTGACCAGCCGCCAGCCGTTCCTGAAGAGGATGTAATATATCATGTGAAATACGAAGAGTGAGTTTTGTTACCTTCTTGGCTAATGAAGTCATTTGGATCGTGATGTTGATGGGAAGTTTTATTGCAGAGATTCACGAGGTAGAACAGAAACGGGCTGACACTGTAATGACATTACTGAGCCCCGTTAACTGTAAGTTTGTCTCACAGCTGGAATTCCAGCTGGAATTCAGTGGGGTGGAATCATGTTTTTAGACATGTGAAATGCTGTTATCTGAGTTTTAAAGGGGATATGACAGCAGTAAAGTTAAACTGCTCGATTCTGACTGTGTCTGTGTGGGAGAAGGAGACTTTATTCCTTTTTTTTCTCGTACGTTGCGTGGCATCGGTTCTTAAATCGACCTGTCTGGATAAAATCTGTCACTTATAACAATTTGTGATGTTGAATCTGATTTTTCTTCTCTGTCCATCTGTGCTTCCCTTCTACTTCAAGTTATCCAGAGAATGGAGTTGTACAGTTGAGTTCTAATGATGTACGGGCTCGTGCACGGACTATTTTGAAGTGGCACCAGCTAGAAGTAGGACAGGTGGTGATGGTCAACTACAATCCCGATGAACCAAAAGAGAGAGGCTTTTGGTACGACGCGGAGATTCTGCAAAAAAGAGAAACTAAAATGATCAAGGAGATAAATGCAAAGATATTACTTGGGTAAGCAAATTCATAACGTGGAAATAAATTTAATTCCTTAACTCTACTTAAGCTTTTGTGAGGTCTGAATGACTCTGCTGGAAAAATAATGATGTGACAAAACAAAACTGGTGCAGCAGAAGCGCTGGGGAGAGGGGAGGTGCTGGGCTGTCCCTTTGGGTGACTGACTTTGTCGTACTTTGCTTTTAATTAACTTCCACTGGAGGAACTGGGCACCTTGAGGAACCACAGGGCACGCTGATCTGTGGATTCATGCAATGCTGGGAGGATGTGAAGCCCCATATTTGTTAAGAGAAGAATTGTTTGTTGTGTCACCCATCCATAACGGGTGTACAAACGCTTCAGTGTGATATTTTGTGCTAGATATGATGATGTAGACTGAACCATCACTTTAAGAAAAACAGATGATGAAAAATTAACTTCAGTTCTCTCCTAAAGGAGGAAATGAGCCTACATATAAGGGGCTCTCAACTTCAGGGGAGGGAAGGAAATGTATGTATGTGTTTTCAAAGTTTCAGATAAAATTTTCACAGGGTTGGCAAAATATTCCTCCCTTTCCCTCTCACCACAGTGATTCTGACTGTAACTATGAGAAGAGTGAGTGTGAAAGAGGGAGAGCAGTTCTGACTGATAAATGGAATGCTCCAAGTGCCTGGATTCTCATTGAGGCAGGAGGGGGTACACTTGAATGGAATGAAAATGATTTGATTGGTGGTGATGCTGTCGTGTCACTGTCCCAGATGATGTGAAGCTGTCAGAGGTTTCCTGTGATACAGGACTGATACCAGAGCAGTCTGCGTTCCCATGTACGTGCACAGCTGTGAATTCATGCTGCAGGATACTTTCAAAGTCTGAGCTCTTTGACTTTTATCAACTTCTCCTTACAGGGAGGCTGGCGATTCCTTGAATGACTGCAGAATTACATTAGTGGATGAGATTTATAAAATTGAAGAACCAGGCAGTGCTTGTCCAATTAGTCCCAGTCCATTAAAACGTGAGTCTGCCATGGAGCTCTTGTGTGTCTCGGTCTTAACCTTCTGATATTCTGCTAATTGGCTTTGTGAGGATCAAAGGTCTAAGAATTCCAAGACACTTGTAGCTGTGACTCCTTTGACCATTTCCAGCGTATCTTGACGCTTTCTGGAGTCTGAAGCAGCCTGTGGTTTCTTGTTGCTGACAGGACAAAATGGACCTGTGTGCAAAGCTTGTAAGGACAACCCGAACAAGACCTGCAGAATTTGTGCTTGCCATATCTGTGGAGGTAAACAAGATCCAGATAAACAGCTAATGTGTGATGAGTGTGATATGGCTTTCCACATCTACTGCCTCAACCCTCCCCTTAGTAGTATACCCGATGATGAGGATTGGTAAGTTCTGTGCGTGTGGTGTCACAATTACCATCTCATTAGGAGCAGAAAGGGAGGCCTAGAGCTCCGCGCTGCCCTTGGGTGGCAATATCGTGACCATACGAGGTGGAGATGTTTGTGTGTGTTTGTTGTTTTTTTTTAATAGGACTTCATAGCTTCTCCTGAGTGCCAGTTTAGTGAGATTGTGTTTTATGTCAGTGGCTTTCAAACCTCTTTTCCTACTTTTGGGATCTATATGCCTATTCAAAGAGAGGTGGAGGTACCTATAAATCAAATGCAAACCTGATGCATTTCCCATCGTGTCATGGTTTTCATGGGTCGGTCACAGGTAGTCCACAGGCCCCATCACTATATTAGGCTGGTGATATACATTGTTCTATATATGAAATATGTGTGGTGAAAGATACATAGAGAGCTGTCTAGATAGTGAAATCTATCTAACTATATACATATAGGTAATGAAATATATTGGTTTATTCCCTGTGTCCTGTTTCAGCATTTTATACAAGGATTTTTATGATGTAGCTGATTTCCTGACACTTCTGCTTAGGAGATTGTACAAGGACACTTGCTAATGGAGGTCTAATTCCAGCATGGAGAGTCATTTCAGTGTCCTCTCTAGTTTCACATGGGGAAATTGTAACATAACTCAGTATGTTTTGAGGAAATTATCTTGTAATTTAAGGCCTTGCTACTAGTTAATTTTCATTGACTGGTGACTTTAGGTATTGCCCTGAATGTCGAAATGATGCAAGCGAGGTGGTTTTAGCAGGAGAGAAATTAAAAGAAAGTAAAAAGAAACAAAAGATGGCATCTGCTAATTCATCCTCGCGGAGAGACTGGGGCAAGGTCAGTTCAAAAGCTGTTTTATTTTGAAGAATAGTGTGTGTTAGTTCCTTGTAATTCTTGGCTGATCAGCCTCGCTCTTTGAAACAGGGTATGGCCTGTGTCGGTCGCACAAAGGAATGTACCATTGTCCCCTCGAACCACTATGGACCAATTCCTGGGATTCCAGTTGGCACCATGTGGAAGTTCAGAGTACAGGTATGAAGCTGAATCCTGGCCTGAGCC